AAGCGAATATCCAGCCTAGACATATACATGGCTCGTCAGGTCAGTATCGATTCGAACAACACTTACCAGGCAAATAATATTGTGAGATTATTTAAGCGTGTAAGAATCTTCAGAAGTGGAGGGAAGGGATTGACGTCTGCGAGCGACACGTTGACATCTTTCATACATGAAGCAGGTGCAATGGTGGGGCTATTCGCCTCGACGTTAAGATCCTCCATTTGCAGCGGAGAAGTTATGCTTTCTAGTGCAGGTTGTGCGAGCTTGTCAGTGGCAGAAAAAGCATGACTGGATTTGTCCAAGTGTTGCAGTTGCAGCTCCCCTTCCTTTGCTCTCATCTGCAGGACATTCTGATACGTCAGACTACGTTCCTTCCTGAACGTATCTTTGAATAGGAGAACCAGGGCAAGGAGAACAACTCCGGCGCAAATAGTCATGAACCAGAAGATTGAGCGCCAACCCAAACCCTGTGTCAGCACACCACCGAATACTGGGCCCAACGCCGGCCCCAGGAGCGGAGCAGAATAATATATGCCCATTTTAGTGCCTCGCTCATGGGGTTCGTAGATATCTGCTAGTTGTGGCTGCGGCAATTGACAAGAGCGCACTCGAGCTGATTATTGTAAGTAGTAACTCAGAGATTCGGTATAAATTCCTTACCCAACAGCTTGACGAGCTCTCATTCCAATCACCAGACCAATGGTGTTGGACACGGCGACAATAGCAGAGGCAACTATGAATAATGCTACAGATGATACATAGACAAACTTGAAAGAATATCAACAGTTTATTGTTATGAGGCAGAGTGCTCGACGAACCTTGCGTCCTTTTATTTCGCTGATGGCGCTCCATAGAAGCCCAGGGACTCCCTGAATAAGAATAAAGACCGATAACGTCCAGCTTATTTCCGATGTAGATGCCCGTAGGTCACTCTGAATATGGGCATTTGCAGCTGGGCGCAACTTATTTCAGTCTTCTGATCATTTGGGGAGGGAACAGTCATACGGTTCTGTATGTTGACAGCTAAGCCTGCGATCATGGAACCAGCTGAAACAATTATTAGAATGGTAGTCTACGGTCAACATGTCAGCCTTCTTTCAGAATGTAAGTGACTGCTACTTACCTTGCGCGCATTGCCCCATCTGAAAGGATCATCTTCCACAACAGCGTGTTCAATGCCTGTCTTGATTTCGTCACAGAAGGCGGTAACTGGGCACCTAACTTCAACTGCGACGCGAGGAGGTTGTACATGTCGGGTACATTCCTCAGAAACCATGACATGAAAAGGGTGCAGGGTAAGCTGGGGGTCTGGCAAGTAACACCGACAGATACGTCAAACGCAAGCTTTTATATGAATCAAGTGAGGGGTCGGCGCTCAGGCCTCGACCTCAGGGAAGAAATGGCGGCGTGTGCTAATGATGGATGAGAGTGCACGCTGATGGGTTGACCGGTGGTGCTGGGGCACATGGGATCGGTTCGGCATGAAAAGTGAAGACGCTGAAACTATCCATGGCAACGGATCGTGTGCGTGTAGTGCATGTTTCGTCGGCCATAACTCGTACCGGTGGTGGGGCTAATTGTATCAACCAACTCGGTACAGTGCAGAATCTAAAAGTTTAGTCGCTTCAGGCAAACTTCGATTCCGAAGCATGGAGAAAAAGTTATATTTAGGCTTATGAAGAATAATTGCAGATCACGCGCCGCACAACCGCATCGGGAAACAGGCCAAGCGCGCGTCTATGATACCAGCTGAACGTTGAGCTTGAGTAAGTACAAGTCCTTATCACACTAAAACGGCACAGTGAACACGATATGTCAGCAAAGATATTGATACACAAATGGGTAAGTTGAGCAATAGAGAAGATTTAGTCGTGAGGGCGGCGTTTGCTATGCAGATGGATTTCGCGTATGTGACGAACAAGACAATCTCTCCTCATGAGCTTGCCACATCCATTCCAGGAGCAGTAAACACGACGATACGAGGATCCTCCAACATGCTTGCGCATATGAACGACGAGGGTGTCAGCAGACACGACACCATTGCAGGGATCAGTTGCCTGTGACCACCTGCAACGATCTCGTGGCATTAATGTCGACACACCGGCCGGTATATCCAACATAAGATGGAAGGTGGGATCAGCCGGGGGCATCGAGATAGCCTGTCGGGTGACGAGGTGCAAGGATCGCGGGGTGCAAGGATCCGCAAGAGCTAGCTCTCGAGTGGTCTGCAACGCCTTTGGGCTGTGGGGTTCCTAAATCATAGCAGAAGTGAATAAGGTCGCAGCACAGCGAGGACAAGTGCTGATCACTCACAGCAGAACGGCCGCAGCGGCTATAGCTTGTATCAGAAGTTCTTCCATGCCTAGTGATTTGACGCCGTCAGATAGGGTAGCTTACAAAAAATACCATTATACACTGGCGCAGTTATAATTCGACGGAAGCGTGTTGGAGACATGAGAGCAGTGGCAATTTCGAAGTTCGCGCTAAAAATAAGAACTTGTAAGAACAGCAACAGGCCACATAAGAACCACCGACTAGTTTAGAATTTGCTTTGTTTCATTTGATTTATTAAGAGGGTGCTCAGCATCATCAGTCGAGTGGGAGAAACCCGATGGTTCTCTAGGACATGCTGATGTGGAAGTGGTCAGTAGTTGGCCGCACATGTTTGCAGTCAGACAAGGAATATAGAAAGTATGGAGGCTGTAATTTATATGCGAAGATGGCACTGTTACTGGAGAAGTACTATCAGGCGTTAGCCTGCCAAACTAAGAAGTGGGTCGCAAAGTTCCAATCGTCAAAACCTTCTAGATCATGGCGCAGGATTCCGTATTGAGATCGGTGAATGGAGATTAATAGGCGTATAAATGAGGGTAGTTATGACACAATCGATGGAAATTCTGGTCCAGAAACTGGTTGAAAATGGCAGTAACCAGTGATAGGGTGAAGTTGCGCTTGAGCAGGAGAGTTTGAGACGTTTAAAAACCATCGTTGGTCCATGGAAGCGGTAGGAGGGTACTCGAAAAGGCGCAATATCCGGTTAGAAGGATTTTGAAGAGTAAAACGCCATTCGGACAATGATATATGATAGTTCGTGTGGGGTCGATAGGCCATTGAGAAAACGTGGTGGACAACGTTCAAAACAATCTAGATAAGCTTCCCTTATTCGCGGCGTTTTAAGCGGGAAATGAGTATGATACAACTCACTACGATCACTGATTGGACAGGTACACAGGGGTTGGCCCTTCGTGGTAACACGTTGTCCTGGATGGGGAGCCAGTTGCCAGGATGGAATGAACTGTACGACTATTCGTTGAGGCCATCCTTCCGATGGCCACCAGACTTTTAAATGTTGAAGGCAAAGCCTGCTAGATGCTGTGTCAGCAGCACAGAAATGATCAACGACCAATTGATAATTGGGCACGCGGAGGACATAAGGAAAACATAAAGCGAATAGCAAAATGCTTCGTGGCGACAACAAAAGTGATACTTACGTAAAGACTCTTAAAAGTATGTTTCTCCTTTTTGCACTAAACCTTAGCACTTTAAGTTAGATTCCACGGACTAAAGAGTTGTTACATACTCTGACAAGCGACCGCCATCATGGCTAACACCACCGTCAAGGGCGCAATTGCTATCCATGGCCAAAACCCTCAGGCGAGTGTTTGCGGTACACGTTTTGATGATAGCTGACAATAGCATAGTTTCTAGTGGAGACCGTTATCCGTAATCGAATATGGGAATCAAACTATTGGAAGGAGCATTGCTTTGCTTTGACTGGTGTGTCCACCGCGTTTTCTAAGACGTCCAGCTCATCCTTTTCAATATAGCGGAGTCTCTTATCGACCAAGCCATTGCGCTTAGGTGCATCGGAGGTGTTTATGGCAATCAGCGCCCTACGGAGTTCCTGTGCTTGCTTCTGAAATTGCTTCAGCTTCAACCGGAAAAGGAGATATTGATAGAATATTTGCAAGCAGACGAGTTCAAGTGAGCATTATCATATGTACCGCCTGCTGATTGCTGATGCAAGTACTTAGATATATGAGGGCATTGGCCGCCATGTACATACGAATGACCTTCAGTGCAGTGGAAGTGTACGAGCTTCTCGAACCATTAATGAAGGACTTCAGAAAGCTTCGATACCGCGACATGGGTTTGTCGATCTTCATTTTTTTCGTTGGTATGCGTCTTACATCTCAACAGCAGGGTATTCACTAACTCATTTTGACGAATTCATATATTCGCTCCTCACTGAGGAACGAGTCTGTGACATCATTCTTCCCCGTAAAGCCAAGCGCTCGATACTTGAAGAGAACGGCGAGATTGGCCCTCGGAAGAGTCGTTTGCTTGATGCTATGGAGGGCAGGAGTGAACATGGTAGTGACAGGAGTCGTAGTTCCAGTCGAAGTAGGAGTAGGAACCCCAGCAAGAGCTCATACAGGTCACGGAGCCCCAGCGTTAGTAGGAGCAGAAGTCAATCTCCGTCAGAGAACGGTCGATACGTATCGAGGAGTCCTTCTCGTTCTCCATCTCGTTCACCCGACCGTTCACGCAGTGGAAGTATGTCTCCAGATAGGATGAACATCGAACCCATGAATGTATTATAATCTACTTAGCATGTCTACATCTTTTTGACGCCCTTGGTATCGAAAGTTTGGTCCTTGAAAGAGAGCAACTGCTTGGACAGTTCCTTCCATCGCTCCTCCACTTTTGGGTTCTTCTCAACAGCTTCAGGAGAAAGATATCCTCGGTTGCGCCAGTTGGTGTACCACACTTGAGGACATTACTTTTAGAAATAATCAAAGTTGAGGGAGGGAGACTCACGAATGTCCGTACGACGAGTCGGTGCTGCTGAAATACGATCTGCACGACCCTTGACACAATCACGAAGAGCCAATGGGTTGTAGTATTGGCAGAAGACACTTCCTCCAACGGACTCGACCGCTTTGATGGCAGTTTGAGATGCACGAGAAGGAGTGATGTGAATAGGCGTTTTCAAAAATGGAGCATTCTACATGACAATGAGTTGTACTAGAAGGATGCCTGAGAATAGAAACATACATCGCCCAGAAGTTTGATTCCATCGTGTACATTATGAATGCATCCGCTCAGCAGCAATTCGCGGGCTGTGATAGGGTTCTCAGGCGATGATTGTAGTCGACCTTGGTCAATCCAATGCTGTATCCGGTCCAGATTAATGGGGGCGTACACCTTCCGGTTGCTTAACGGACCTGTCAGATGGTTATGAAACTAGCTGGAACAAAGAGCACTCACGCATTTACAAAGCCTTTCTTCGGGAACCTCTTCGTAATCGGTGTCTGACCACCCTCGAATCCAGCTTTTGGTTTGCCATTGCCTGCGCGAGCCTTCTGACCCTTGTGACCTCGTCCGGACGTTCCTCCGCGACCAGAGCCTTGACCTCTACCAAGGCGTTTTTGCTACCAAATAAAGTATTAGAAAATGTTGCATCAGAAACGATGACAGTGCCAACCGCGTGCTGTGAGTTTGGTCCGGGCGAGAGATTTGACAGTGTTATTCGAGCCGTCCTTGAGCGGAATACGGACGACATGTCCGCTAAAAGTAGAAGTTTAAGCAGTGGTTGTCTCTCGAAAATTCCCCGTGGCCGACTCCCACGTCCACGCTTATGGCATGCGTAAGACATTTGCCCTGTGGTTGTAACTTTTTCATGTTCTTTTCGTTCATTCGTCATCCTAAAGCCTAGGAATCAAGCTTTTCTGTCGACATTCCTCTTTGCTGAAATTTCTGCATCCCAATTCTTGGCCTGCGATTATTACTCCCATTACACTTATGCGTCTTGGGTTCAATTTAATTAGGCTCTGCTCACTCTGGCTATTTGCAGTTCGAAATGGATATATTTCTGCACAACTCGGCGCGCATCTGTTGTGTCCCACGTGCTCGACGAGCTCAATGCCCTGCTCATGATGTTGGATATGCTGTTGAGCCATATTCAATGTATAATTCATGTCCCGAATTGCATCCACATGTCTACGCAACTGCGAAGGTCCTCTTTCTGTTCCTGGCTCCAGTCCACGCTGTATTTGCATTTCACCTCTTTGCGGTTCAATTGAATGCAGTGCCACTGCCACATTTGATAGTTCTTGTCTTTACATTGGTGTTGGAACGTTGACGGGCAGGGTGCAGGTGTTTGGATGCGCACATTTCGAATTTGAAATATACTTACAACCACCGCACTGTCTTTAGCCGCCATTTCCCTCTCCCACTTGTTCACATATCCTCTGTTGCTTAATCTAACTTGCGGCTGTGTTACAATGTGATGACCCTCTGTGGTTTCACTATCTCGTGCACTAGGTGGAGCTCACTCTGTTACATGATTATTTGTTATTTGGGTGATCCCTCTTCGCTCAACTCGTGTATACAGCTAATTTTAAGCCGTGTGGAGCCGTGGTCCGTAATCTTCTGCGACGTTTATGACAGTCTGGTCGTCATCACCTTACGTCTTCCGGGCACACTCCAAGTAGAGAATGGGGGCAGTGAAATTAGTGGCCCTGAGTAAAATTGAGTTTGTGCAGAATATGGCTTTATGTACTAAGGCATGGCGCTGGGGCCGACAGCCGGAAAGCCAGACAATTGTCGAAGCCGATTTCGTTATGTGCATTATTAAAAGATGCTAAGAGCTTCTAAGGGACTCCTAACTATGGAAGCCTGGACACTCGTGCTCAATTACCCAGCTAGAATTACCATATATAGGCCATGCTTCTGCAGGACCACAAATACTGCCAACATGAATAAGAAATAATATTATGTACTACATGTGTCAAACAAATGTATAACAGAGATTTGCTGTCCATACTACTACACCAAGCCTATTAGGCAGAGCATGAGTGTCCAGGCTATAGATGGACTGCTGTGAGGTCAATAAAATACTACTGCAAGAAATCAAATCAAAAAATATCAACAAATGTCAGTCACCATTTGTCCATCTCATCCACATCACCATCTGAGTTGTCAGAAAACTCCCATATGACTAAACCATCATGGTCCAGTCCAACAATGTCTTCATCAATGCCACTCATAGTTTCAGACTCATCATCATGCACAAGACTCTCTAGCTGATGCAAATGCTCATCACCTGCATAGATATCAGCCTCTGTGTTCAACATGTGAGCCACAAGTGGACAGATAACATACCAAGGTCAAGTCTACCACCCACCCCACCCATATAGTATGTGCTGTTATTCTCCTCATCATAAAGCAAGTCCTGGTGGTTCTCTAAAAGTGGGAGATCTTCTTCAACATCTTCAATAGCAGATGGTATCTCCTTGTTGACTTGCAGCATGTCAAGTAATTGTAGGTACATATCCCAAGCAGACTGCCTTGTGACTAATGGGTGGCCCAGTTCCTCATAGCAGCACTGTATAAGCTTCCCAAATGATTGTGGCACAAGATTGAAGACAGCATGAGAATGATCAATGTATAGATTGTGTATGT